TCTCTTATTCTCTCTCTCTCTCTCTCACTCTCACTCTCACCCTCTCACTTACTCTCTCTCTCTCACCCTCTCACTTACTCTCTCTCTCACCCTCTCACTTACTCTCTCTCTCTCTCTTTCTCTCTCACTCACTCACTCACTCTGTCCTACACTAAGAAACGCAAAAATTGATGCCCCGAGGTGCGTGAAGCCGAGTAACCAGGGCCTTTGTTCGTGGGCCCGAGTGTTTGCACGGCTCCTACCTAAACATCGTATCCCCATTGTTCAGCGAACATTTTCCCGAACGCCTCACTGGCTCGATATTTCACTCCTGTTGAAATTCGGGAGACTGCACGTACGCGCCCCTCCCAATTACATCCAAGCATCCATGACATCTCTTTCTTTCCTTCGTTTTGTCTTTATTACTTTCATTCTCTTGCTTCCCTCCCTTCTTCCTCCCTGACTCGCTCGCTCACTATCTTTCTTCCTCCTTTTATTTTCCCGCACTCGTTTCGCGGGCTTCCGATCGCTACGCACCACCGCTTATTTCTTTTACCTTTATACAATTCTCTGGCTTTCTTAATACCTCCTAAATCCCATTTCAATGCGTCGACGCTGTTAGTTTATACTTTTCGCAATGGCTAGACGTGAATCTTAATAGTCGTGAAATTTGAGTAAGAATCAAAGGGCAATCTTTCGACTCTCTCATCGTTTTGCCCAAATACTTCGAATATTATTTTTCTCTCTCGTTTTTCTTTCTTTCTTGTTTTCTTTTTTTTTTTTTTTTTATCTTGTAAAAAATCTGTCCTTCTCTCGAAATCTCGTAGCTGGAGAAATTTTTGCTGCCTGACAAGCATAAGACACGAGCGAAGCATGTTTAGCCGTAGGTGTAACAAAATTAAATTTACGTTAAAAGTAATTTTGACGATGGAGGTGTTAGGAGAACGTGATTATTATGTTCCATGCGTCGCAATCCTTTTAAGATCGATTCTTATACTCAACTTTGACAAAATTGTCAATAGATGCTAATAGTGGTAATATACGTTTATCCCAGATTGTGATCTGGGAATTGGATCGTTGATAATAATGTCGGATGAAATCACTGCGTTAAAAATCGACGGACTCGCTAGTTTAGATGGTAGAACAACCCGTGTAGTGGGTGATTAAGGGCAAATTAACAAAAAAGTGCCGACTAACTATGATTTATTCACTTTCAATTTTTTATGGTGTTAATTTTAGCAGACGATAACGTAATAATGGTTCGTGCTCGTGCTTTAATGAAATCCGTAAAATGTCCACGCGGACATTCGTTTCGCGGCATTCGGGAAATGCGATATTATATCCATTTGAAATTACGAGTGCCCGCTTGTCATCGAATTTTACCAAAGATTTACATAACGCGATTTAATGCTCGAACTTTTAAATGAGCTGTCGAAGCCACATGGAACTCGCGTTATTAAAATCCATAAGCCACTTTTCGCGTCCGTCGACGCGTAGACGTGCGACTAAAAAGCGAAAAAATAAAAGGAAAAAAAGAGGAGGAAAAAAATAGAGACGCAGGCGAATAAATAAATAAACAAATAAGCACAGGAGACGGGCATAGCGTATCTGTCACCGTTCTTATATCATCAAAAATCTTGCGCAGCTCTCCAGAATAATCTGTGGGGACATCGCCGAGACGCTTCACCGGTCGTTTAACAGGCTCCTCCCCGATCAACAGGCTCTTCTTGTCCTTTTGGATTCCGATGAAACGCGTCGCCTATGCTGTGTCTCACGTTATCGTCGGCTCTTGATGAGTCGGCGGGGGAGGCGGGAGGAGGGGTGGAGCGGGACGGGAGGGGGTGAGGTGGGGGACGCACATGTCCTCGGTGTCACTCCGGGGGCGACGGAGATTATTCGACGATCGGGCTCGGAAGTACTCAGCGGCGCCGCCCTAAGCGCGATTTCCCAAGGATCACGGCGCCCGAATTGTCTCCAAAGCCGAATCATTGACGAGATTCGGACGAGGCTTTTCGCGCCGCATTCGTCGAAGTGGCACACCACCACACGACGACAAAACCTCCCTCCATCCGTCGAAGGACGCATTTTACATCGTCCGGGCGATCCAACGATGCTATCCCACTTTCTAAAGCCTCCTCTGGCCTACTCGGCTATTAAACACTCTCGCATTTTTCTAGAATGCATATGTGAATTCTATGTGCGGAGATGACACGCATGGCGCCCATAAGCAGCCCCGTAAACATCAAGTTAGGATATAATGCTCTTAACTTTTATCGAGGGGGGTCAGAGTCAGGTTTCCTATTGTTTAAGAAATCCTTTCTCTTTCTCAAATGTTTGTAAATAATGTATTAAAAAAGTATTTCTTTTTTTTTTTTTTTTTTTTTTTTTTTTTTTTTTTTTTGCCTTTTATTCAATTTATTCGTTTTCACGACGAGCGGATGAGAATTCATATGGTTTTTCATGCTCTTCTACAACCAACGATTCGTTCACGCAAATACTTGTACAGACGTTTAGATGGGCTAACGAGTTTTGCCGATCAGGCATTATGGTGCTTGGAAAAGGCATGGAAAAACCTATTCCTGACGCATTAATGCAATGTGCATTACCTGTTCTTCTGTTAAACTTGTAAATCAATTTAGCGAGAACCAGCGGAAATACTACTTAAATTTTAACATTTGGCATTATGGAATGGTAAATTTTATGCTTCGACGTCCTAGTGCGGTATATGTGCCTGTAATAAAAGTTTATTATTACTTTAATATTAGATGAATGCATGTGCTCTCTGAATGTCTTCGTTTTACGGCCTTCATTTCCTAAATTTTCCAACTACGAATTCAAAGAAGGCAAAAATTTTTAATTTCAAAAACAAGAGCCGTGACGTCAGTAATAAGGGCTAACGAGCAAATGAGCCTGAAAGGTGTGAACGCTTTAATGAATATTATTTATAAACTTCCGGCTTGGCTTCCTTCGCCGAGTCAAGCGGAAAATACTTAAAAACTCGTAACTACCATCTATTCGTTTATGCAACTCATAATTGTCAGCATAATACATAAATTTACTCCACAATGATGGAGGATATTTGTTGTTTATTAATGCGCTAACGCGTGTATAGTTATAACCATAAATCTCAACTAATAAAAGTGCACGTATGTTTTAATCTCGCTGTTTTAATAGCTTGATGAAATAAGCAGAGCGGAGCTTTTCTTTATCAATAAAGTCGAGTTTCGATCGAGTTGGTGGGCATTTTATTTTCTTAGCATCTCAGCATTAAAGAGTCGCCAAAGCCAAGAAAACATTTACCCTGCCTCTAGCCCCTCGCATCTTGAAGTTCGTGCTAATTGAGCGAAGAGTCGTAGAGTCGTCGAATAAACAACATTAAAAGTGCCAATAATTCGTTACGGATGTGCAATCGAGGGAAAATGTTTGCGGAGTGCGCTAATGGTAAGGGTAATTGCCAGCAAAATCTCATGCCTGACATTCAATTTCTATTCGACTTACCAACTCAGCGACGATTCGTGCCATAAGGCATTTAAAAAGCAAAGCGCTCCTGGCTCGGGCGAATTCTTATTTTTTCTTTACTTTATATTTTCGTTTTTTTTTTTTCCCCTGTCTCTTTTGCCTTTGCTTGAAAAAGAAACGAGGAGGAAAAAAGAGCTCGGGGAGCAGCTCGGAAGTCCTTCGCCTTCAGTCTTCTTGGACCTCTTTGTTTTACCCCTCGATTTACCCCACGTAAAGCTTGATGGAGTCACAATTCATCTACGCGAGTCCCTCAAGATACCGGGGATTACGATTCTCACAGAGGGGAAAATGTAATGTTACAACGAAAAAACGTTTCGCCCTGCTGCCAAGCCTCCGCTAGCTTCGCGAATGCATCCACTTCCTCTTTTATCACGAGTTTCTCATCTCATTTTAATTCCTGGCTTTCATTTTCGTTGCTCGCCGCTTTAGTATTTGCCTTGTCGAGGCTTTTGACTTGAAAATATCCGACAATAAAATGAAAATGTGCCTCGATTCTTCAGTTGAACACACCGAAGTAAATGACGCACAGTTTTCTTTCTTTCGTTATATTCTGACAATAATTGTCCTCTTATCAATTATGGTTGTAAAACAAAAATTTTTTTTTAATTCATTTTTCATGAATTCAATGGCATATGCACCATTAATATATTAACGCGAGTCTTTTGTATGTGACGGTGAAGCTTTCGATAGAACAAAAAAAATTTGATTCTCTATATTTAAAATTTAGACGGACTCTGTCTGCTCTTTTCCTTTGCCTCAATTATAGATAAAAATTTTTCTATATTAAAATTATTGCATTTTTACATTACCTTTTATTAGTATAATATATGTATTAAAATCATATATAACTGAGCTTAATCGTTGGTTATAAATATCTTTTAAAATACTTGTAGTCGTAATACGCATTGTAATCATTGTGGAATCGATCATAAAGAGTTATTTTTGCAGATGATAAAAAATGAACACAACTACCGTAAAATGTTACCCGTAAAAGTTGATAAATGTGGAAAATATTCTTTCGTGACTAAATATCAACAGCAACATTCATAGCCTCGTGTTTACCTCGTCTCATACGATAGAATTAAAAGAACATTAAATTAACTAAAATCGATACAATTTTTAGTATTTGTCCCTATTTGAAAAAATTGATTCACGATTTCGTTTTACGAGATATTACCAACTAAACAAAACACAATGCAAATCACTACATGTTACAATAATCCTTTATAGATAATACTTTATTAATTAATTATGAAACCATTTAGAGTCATTGTAATAATAATATCCAGTACAATAATTTCATGTATTGGCTTAAAATATATTAAAATATATATATATATATTAAAATAAATAAATATATATATATATATATATATATATATATATATTTATAAATATACAAAAGACGATGTTTTTGAAACGTATCTATATAGTCAAAATTTTATAAGATAATAAAAATTTTTTTTTTAATTTTATTTCACAACTTCAAACGTACATGATTCTTTAACAAGAACGAAAAGACAGTAACAATGAAAGAAAGAGAAAGAACAATATTCGATAATTCGCTTCATATTACACATAAAATTTTTAATCCACTATCAAAATTGCATCGATTATTTGATAATTTAGGTGAAACGTATCTTGATTCGTTTGAATTGTAAATTTCATTTCTCAAAACATTCCATACAATAACCACTCTGTTAATTGTTTCAATTGGACTTCACGCTCGGAATCGGACTTGCCCTTCAAAATTTCATTCAATAAATTCTTTTCCTTACTGTCCAATGTCTCTTCGGGATTTAACGCAGTTATTACCATACTTGGAAGACTGACATCGTAATATAGAAAAATCTGTCATAAGTCAATTAAATACATTATTATGCTATTGTTATATTAATATTAAAATACAAATAATTATATGCATCATATATTAGATAGAAAGAACTTTTCAATCCTGCTTAACGCACAAATTCGCCAGTCGAATAAAAACAAAAGGAAATTCACATCATTCACGCGTAGCTTGTTATTAGTTACATACTCGATTAGCATAATTTAAAGAGAATCAACGTCAAGCGTAACATAAAAATTACCTTGTTAAAAAAATTGTTATAAACGAGACAAGGACTAGTGGATTGGGGGAAAACACTATACATCCCGGCGCAAAAAGCTCTCACGGGTTCCTCGAACTGAAAGCGAACGCTATTCCTTTGTTGATCAAGAATATACGTTTGACCATCCCAAGTACATGCAATTATTTCATCAGCTCCATCACCGGTAACATCTAGTGAACATAATGCCGAGATGTGATGATCAACTTGCATTGACCTGCAATAAGCATTATGTTTATAGCGATTAAGTTTTATATTAAAGAGTATCGATACGTTTTATTTTAAACAAATGTATAAGAAAAAAATTTTTTACATAATTTTCTTTCTTTTATCTCTTTGTACAAGTTTATTTTTTTTACATGCAATAATAAAGCTTTATTATTATTAAATCAATCTAAATGTCTAAATATAGTGTTGTGCTATGCTATGAGTTTTTGTAGATGTATTATTCAATAAAAAAAAAAAAAAAAAAAAAAAAAAAAAAAAAAAAAAAAAAAAAAAAACAGTGTGTTCTTAATGCGCATTATCTAATTTAAGAAATACGATTAAAATTTAAAAACCAATGATGTTAAATTCAAAAACACTCAGTTGGTCGTATTTATCAAGAAGCTTAAGAAAACTGTACATGTTTACAGAGTTTGAAAAAACAGAGACTATAATAAACCTAACGCACGCACAACACACAAATTAAGCAAAACTGATTGTACAAAATATTTACATGACCTATAATTGTTTTTCAACAATAGTCGGCAGTTCGAGTTTTTCTTCTCACAATAATAATATTTAAGAAAGCATTGAAAACTTTCATTTACAATATTAACATAACATGTTGCAAAAAAAAAAAAAAAAAAAAAAAAAAAAAAAAAAAAAATCTCCATATGTACATCATTTAATTTATAAAAAGAACTTTAACGAAATATTTATAGATAAATTTTGTTGAGAGTAGGATAACTAATTTAACTTAAGAAAAATATTATTCCTGAATCCGATCGATCGATCAATCGAATAAACAAAATACTAACAAATAAAAATTTTTTTCTCGATATATTTAATGGAAGAATAAATAAGAAATTATCATTTATACAAACATTCTATTAACAATTGCCAGTAACAATGAATATTTTTTTTTGGCACATTAAGAATTTAAATTATAATTAAAATCTCGACTATTGCGTGCTATGAGTAGTTTTATAAATTTAAAAATGTAATTTTCAAATTTTGATAATTTAATAATTTATATTTAATTTAATATACGACGAAGAAAAACATACATCGCATATAAATTTATTGATAAATTCAATTTTTTTTATTTTAATTTCAGCACGCAAAAAAATATTTGCCATTACTTATGACGTTGCAAAGTGACGAATAAATTACGCATTTTTTTATACATTCATATAATTAAAGTGATAAGAAATATATCAAGAAAGGGATTAGAGCATATATTTTCGAAGGATTTGATGAATTTAAGTTCGTTGAAACATATTTCAATATATAATGAAAATTCAGACCTTTTTTATTTTCTACAACTTATTAAGTATGAAAATACTATTTTAACCATATATAACTATAATAATTTTATTACATAAAACAAATGTGTCCGTGATTCTTCGTTAAATTACATAAATAACAAATTTCTTTACACAATTTACAGATTTTAAATGAAAATTCAATGATATTTAATGAATTTTCTTATTATAAGAAAGAATTAATATACTTAAGCTTTTCCAGAGATCAGTTGTTCTACCTATATCTTTTAAAACTTACTTTTTTTAATGATCGGCTGTCATTCACATTGAAATATCTTTATAATATATTTAAATAACAATTTAAATTACAAATTATTCTCTAGACTTTCGAGCAAGTATGTGTGTGCCCGAGTGCACGTTTGCGAATGAAAAAAGAACTTTTAAATTAGATGAAAAATTAAAAACTTTTATCACTATTACCACTGCCATTACTACAACATTATTACTTTAACTATAAAATACTACCAAATACATAATTAATAAGCATAATGGGAATAAATTGTTTCTTTCTATTGGATTAATAAAATGCATTTTGCATTATTACATTAATCGATAGCAATCAAATGAATGAAATGTGATTTAATCATTACCAGTCATACTGATAATGTCAATTATACATATTTGACGTATTTGAATAATTCGTTCGGAGATAATAGAGTACTGTAGCACGAGTACTTAAAGACGCGATACATTTAAATTCGTAAGTGTACGTACATGCACATTAAATAAGAAATTTCATTAATAATTGATGAATTATTAACGAGAAACGAGAACAAAACTTTTCATATTCTTTCACACGTTGAAACAATCAATTTCATCGTGGCCCTTTGTTACCATAATAATTAATGTACGCGTCATTATTTAATGAATTATATACTCATAATATTACGATTGAAATTGTGTTAGTAGATATTTTATTTAACATTCAATATCGTAATGCTTCTTATAATTTGATCAGCGCGTAAGTAAAAATGCATTGCGAGACTTTTCATAAATATCACTAAAGATCTTTTTCCAATATTACTTTGTTTATCGCTTAATATCATTTATATATAATAATAATCCAAAATTTAATAAAGTATCGACGTTTCTTCTTTATCATGCTTAAGCTTAATAAAATGATATATGGATATAAATGTACTGTTATCTTACCTTAGTTAAAATAAAAAATAAAGAAATATAATTTTTCTTTTTTATATTTTCATTTTGGACTAATGTATTTTGCTTTTTAATAATAAATTACTATTTTAACAAAGAATTTTGTCTTTACTTTTTTCCTTAAATAAATATATTGCTTAGAAATCCAAAAGTATAATAATTTATTAATTATTATAAATTAAATGACAATAATGATCAACATTTATAAAAATAGGCGAGAATTTCATTTTGCCATGTGGAAATTATATTATATTTTTCAATTTTCAAAATGATAATAATTTTATTTCTTGATTTTCACAAAAATCATTGATTGCGCAATTGTGCTCTTACTCAGGCTCTTCTTAATCAGACATAAATTATTACAAGCAAAAGCAGTATGAAATATAATATTTAATGACAAATTATGCAAAAGCAGTTGAAAATGCATACAACTTTTTATATATTTATAGAAGAGAAAAATAAAAATTTTCATTACCAAAGAATTATCTCATCCTTTACTAACATTATGGTACCATCGAGTGTGGCTAGGGCATATGATTTTGTATTTGACCAAGTTTTAATTTCTTCTTTAGACTTCAAATTAATTTGTTGCTTCTGCTCTTTAAGTTTCACTTCGCTATCTTTTTCATTTGCATTTTTCTTTTCACCAACCGAATATTCACAAGATTTATTATAATGAATTTTTCTTTCTCTATTATCAAACTCTTCAAATACGATATTTCCACCAATAAGGTTACCATCTACCGAATCGACATCCTCCGAAGTATTTTTATACCTTTCTTTTACCATTACAGATTCTTCCTCGGAATATTTTAAATTATTATATTCGTATTTCGTCTTAATTGCAGATCCAATTTTCAAATTATTATCATTGGAAGAATGTGTTTTTTTAGGATTTAAATTTCCTAAAATTTCAGTCGATATATTTTGATTTCTCATTCTTGAAATACCCAAGGTTTGATAATCGACACAACTAGCTGCTGCTTCGCTGTTGGTGTCAAAACAATCTTCTTCCAACTGATAATCATCCGCGTTACATTTTATTCGCATAAATGTCCCGCCAGGTTGAGCAACTAAAAGTGTCGGAGTCCCATCAGAATCCTCTTGTAAAGTCACGGTTCCTATTTGATTTGCACACTCCCATTTGTTTAGTCCTACCAGCTTGCCAGTACCCAAGTCTACGTTACTGGACCATCTATAAGATCTTACGACTCTATCTGTTAAGCCAATTATCATTTCATTGGCACCATCTTTATCTACATCTGCCACTAAAACAATTTTTGTATTTGTAGGCATTTTGCCAACCGACTCTGCCGATCTGTTTATATTAATTCTGTGATCCAAATTAGTAAATTCCGTTGCATTGATTAAATTTGATGTTCCTATAGAAATTGGTAATTTTCATAATTGTGTAACTAAAAATTTTAAATGCACAAACTGTATAAAAATAATAAAATAGCTGAACTATTAAGCTGAACTGACCTGTCTTAAACTTTGTAGCATGTTGTTCGCTAATTTCTCCATTATCGGAACCACTTCCTTCTGACTGTAAGGTATTTATACTTGGATGAACAGATCGAGGACTATAGTAAATATGAACCCAACCATCCCCACAAATTACAATTAAGGCATTTCGTCCATAGTTAAATATATCACCTATCGCGATACTTGTAATTAAACCGAGACCTGTAATTTTTTGCCACAATTCCAAGCCCTGCCAAAAGTTTTAAATTTATTACATTTGTTGTTTTGAATTTGTATATGTATATATATATATATATATTTTCGCGCGCGCGCGCGCACCTAAACAAATGAATACGATTGTTTATCTAAAAAATTTTTTACTGTATATTTATTACCTTAAAAATATATAAATCTCCTTCGGCAGTTCCAACAACTAATTCATTGTCACCGTCATTATCAACATCTCCAATTGTTAAACCGTGTCTGAACAATGTACCTGGTAAATCCCATTGCAATCGTTTTACAAAACATACTGCTCTCATTTTGATGACCCTAACAATTATCCCGCTAGTGAATTTAAATTATTTAAGGGTGTGCGACTATTTGGAACAAAATTATTCAAGTTTTGCCAACGACTCGGTGGCCATACAATGCACGTTGCTTTTGCCGTTATGCTTTCAATCGGAATGGGTCCAAAACTATTTGAATCCATAGAATGTCCAATATGATCTCCTTCGACCCAGCATTGCTTATCTGGCACCTTAAATAAATGAATAAACAATTTAATAAATAAATGGATGCATTGTAATTCGTAATAAGCAATTAATTTTCACGGCTATTTAATAAATGAACCTGAAGGATTTCTGTACGATAGCCAAGAGTTTGTATCACATCTCCGGACAATCCTATAACACGTTTGATGAGTCTCTGATTTGGAAATTTAGGCGATTTGAAGGTAACGATATCTCCTCTATTAATAAGTTTATCTCGTATGATCCAACGATTTAAAAAAACGTAATCTTGATCCAGGTAAGGATTTAAGGCTGGTTGCATTGAAGTTCCTTCAACTCGTGCGATAAAGCCGACTTGATTATAAAATAGAAATCCAATAGATATACCTAAGGTCACACTAGGGACAGTGGAAAAGATTCCCATTAAATATTAATAATGAACGAAGAGCGTAGAGTAAATAAAATTTGTTGAAATTAGCTAATTCAATAATACGGACATAACCCAACTGCAAACGAAAAGTCTTTTAACTAAACGTCATTTACTCTTACACTATTTTTATGTTTCTCGCGGTAATGTAAAGTCTATCGCGAGCGTATTAAACGTCAAATGAATTTCAATTTAAATAGTGTAGAAAATATTATTAAAGCAATAGCAGGATGAGCGTAGGCATGTAATTTTTCACATTTCATCTGAAACGTCTAAAAAAAAAAAACGCTCTGATCTATTATTGAAAGCAGTTCGTCTTGTTGTCGCGCAGCAGTGCGTTAAAGGATCGAGGTTAGAAAAGTAAAATAAAGAAAGGCAGAATATTAAATAGACATGTTTATGAAATAATAAATTTATTTCATTTGTATACAAAGCAACAAGCAATTATTACTATTTTTTTAATCGATTCCATTACCGCACAACGTACAAATATAAGCCGTAACCGTCAGTCGAAGAAATGATGGACTATTTTGTTGCAAATAGTTCATTAGCTCCAGCACCCATGGGGATACAAAGTACTGCTGGTGCAGTTCCAATAAAAAATGATAAAGGTAAAATAATTATATTTGTATTTATAATTTGTAATATATATATATATATATATATATATAATGTATTAATTTGTTAAAATTTCTTCCAGGTGAAGTGTCTATGAAGAAGGTAAAAGTACATCGATACGTGTCAGGTAAAAGGCCAGATTATGCACCTACTGCTAGTTCCGATGAAGAATCAGAGGAAGATGATTTTATGGAAAAACGAGGAAGACCGTACGAAGAGATAGAAGGCGTTCCAAATATTCCTCAAACTAATGATCACATTAAAACCAAAGAAGACGATGATCCTCGATTACGTCGACTCACAAGATTAGATCGTCAAAGGGAGAATACGGATGAAATAAGAGCAGAAAGGAGAAGACACGTTCAAGAGCCTGAAGTTTTAATGACAGATATAAATGAAAAATCGAAAGAACGTATAAAACTCGACAGTTCTGAATCATCGGAGGATGAGGATCTCTCCGATGAAGAAATCGAAAGAAGAAGAGAGGCACTTAAACAAAGAGTTTTATCGCGTAAAGAAGTAGACGAAGAGTTAATTAAAGAAGAAGACGAAGAAGAAAAATCTGGAGATAGTTCTGAATCCAGCTCGGAATATGAAGAATATACGGATTCTGAAGAAGAAACGGGTCCTCGATTAAAACCAGTGTTTGTTCGCAAGAGAGACAGAATTACAGTGATGGAAAAAGAAAAAGAAGCGCAAAGGCAAAAACAAGTAGAATTAGAAGCTAAGAAATTAGTAGAAGAGCGAAAAAAACAAACATTACGAGTAAAACTTTTTTTTTTTTTTTTTTACACGTTTCTCGCATATAAAAAAAAATAAATAAAAAAATGTAAACATTCTTTTTAATTGCAGATGGTAGAAGAATCTATAAGAAAAGAAAGTCAAGTTAGAGGTAGCATGTATGAGATCGAAGGAAATATAAATGATGTGAATACAGACGATGAAAATGATGAATTAGAGTATGAAGCATGGAAATTACGCGAATTAAAACGGAATAAAAGGGATCGGGAAGAGCGAGAAGCGTAAGTATTTACAAGAACAATGTAATAAATTAATATAATGAAAGGAAATTATATGAGATTTGTTTATTAATCTTATTATTTTTATTATTCAGAGTTGAAAGAGAGCGTTTGGAAGTAGAAAGATTGCGAAACATGACTGAAGAAGACCGACGTCAAGAAGCACGACTGAATCCAAAGACTATTACCAATAAGGCAGCAAAAGGAAAATATAAATTCTTACAAAAGTATTATCATCGCGGTGCATTTTATTTGGATAAAGATGATACAATTTACAAACGAGATTTTTCTGGAGCTACTCTGGAAGATCACTTTGATAAGACAATTTTGCCTAAAGTCATGCAAGTCAAGAACTTTGGGCGCAGTGGAAGAACCAAATATACACATTTGGTAGATCAAGACACAACGCAGTTTGATTCACCATGGATTTCTGAAACTGCCCAAAATCTGAAATTTCATAATAATCAGGCAGCTGGTGTAAAACAAGTATTTGAACGTCCATCTTTAAAAAAAAGGAAAGGAGAAAATTAACTTATCGATGACATGATAAATACTTTAAATGAAAAAGGCATGATAATGTAAATATATCATTATTGTTAACACTATAACTATTCACAATTTTAACGATACATTCTCTTACATCATTAAGATCACTAGCACGTTATTAATTCTATAGTAAACATTGTGAAAAATCTGTTTATTGTAAACACTTTTTATACATAATCAAAAAATATCTAAATTATATTTTTACATAAGTTTGTTGAATAATAACGTTCGACAATAAATTATGATTTGGATTTTAAGTATTTCAAGGCTTGTTTCGAAGCAGCAAATTTTGCTAATTTCTTTGATAGTCCAAATCCATGAAAATATTTATTTTCTCCATTAACACTAATGGACAATGTGATCATACAGCTATTAGTATTTTCAATTTTTTTGACATATCTGAAAATTATAAAATAATTCAAGAGCGATTAAATATCGGTATACAGTAGTATCAATTACAAATGAAATTATGTAATTCATTTTAGAATAATGAAAAAATCAATATATAAATTACGGTTTACTTCTCGTTTACTTACGAAAATTTCGGATTTATTCCTTGCATTTCGTGCAACATTCGAATGGGTTGTTTAGGAACATTTTCTTTGTAAGTATCTATTTGAAATAAATAAAATTAATGCGCATAAGTGGATGTATTATAATTAATGCTTAGCTAATAAAAATATTATTTTACCAATCTCTGTTTTCATTAAACGATATATAATACTCCATGTTGTTTCTAAATTTTTATTTGTATCCAGAAAAATGGCTCCAATTAGAGATTCAAAAACATCTCCAAGAATTTTCGGAACATCAACATGCTCTGATATATTACATCCGTCTTCTTCTAACAAAGTCCATAATAACTATTGCGTTAAACAAAAAAAAAAAAAATTATTTTAAATTTAATAACAAAAATGAAAGAACTTATTGCTAATAATATAATCAAATAATTTTATATAAATTTTGTTTGCTTCAGGATTACCTCGTCACTAGTTTCGAAATTTCTATGTTCTTGAAACTTAACAAATTTATCGATAGCTGAAAATAACTCTGGAGACTGGACTAAGATAGCTGTGTGTAAACTATAACGTACAGCAAGGCAAGCGAATGTAACATTATTTACTAATGCAGACCTTAAGTCTGTAAGGTCACCGGGACTCAAATTGCCACAGGACTCATAAATGTAAGATGTTAAAAGAAAATCTACGATCGATGAATTAAATTAAAATTGTATATTAAATATTGATAAGTAAAATTAAATAAAATTCATATATTCACCAAGTACAGCGTCTCCTAAAAATTCCAATCTTTGATAACTAAAGGTTATTCTGTTCATTATATACGATGAATGAGTGAAAGCCTTCAAAATTAAATTATTATTATATCATATACTATATACATAATTTTATTTTGATTGCAACCAGTTTAGCATTTAACATACTTGCAGTAAGAACGCCCGATTTTTAAACTTATATCCCACCCTTTTCTCTATGTTATTTACCCACAGTATATGTACATCAATATCCCCAGATTGTATACATGGATTAGGTACCGATGAATGAAGAAATTCTTTAACGACTATGGTTTTGGGTAGTATTTGAAACCATTTTACAATACTTAATGCGCCTTCTATGCCCAAATGCTATAATCAAAAAATTTATTGAAACAAACTGATTTACAACATATGAATATTATGTAGCAGTAGTTTACCAATAAATATGTGCCTATTATGGCTTCAACGCAATCAGCCACAGTTTTATCAGAAACTATTTGCACCCCCAGAAAATGTTCCATCCCAGTTTGCAATATTTTTTCTTCTGGCCAATCAAGTAATTTCTTTTTAATCTTGGCCATTGTATTTGATGACAAACTACTATTAAGTTTCTCTATCGGTGGTATATTTATTTCATACAAAAAATTTGCTGATACCTAAAATAAAATGAAACGCTTATAATCATGCAAAGAAACGGGAGAATAAGAAGAAAAAAAAGCTTATTTCATTTGAAGTTTCATATAATAAATTTACTTTACTTGTATAATATTCAAGATATCCTGTAATTGACGATCAACAGCGTATGCTGGAGCAATGAAATTACACAATGGTGAAAAGTCTTCCACATTCATCCGTCCTGGAATATTTTTATGTTTTCCGCAATAATACAAATTTAAATTTGAAACCAACTGTTCCTTAAGACTACTTAATCCGCCTTCTTCAAGATTTGGATAACTTTGATATAGAAAAAGAGAAACGGAAAATTTGAGAAATGAATCTCCTAATGTCTCAGCGCGTTCATAATCAAAGGCGTCGGCGCTTATTTTAGAAGATAAACTCTAATAAACATAAATGTTTGACTAATAATAACAACAACAACAACAACAACAACAACAACAACAACAATAATAAATTATATTTTCAGTGCTATTCTATCTTTGTTTTATAATGGAAATTATTAAAATTTTTACCTGTAAAATATCAAAAGGACTTGGACCACGGGGGTTTGTCAATTTTAACATTTTTATAGACGTCACAGGAACTAACTCGACCGTTTTATATTCGCTCTTGAAGACATTTTTATATTTCTAAAAAATTATACAAAAATTTATGTACAAATATAAATAATATTGTAATAAAATAAACACGAAGGATAAATTAATTTTACTAAATTATTTTTCTCATCCTCTGTAACTTGATTCATAAATTGATAATAATATTCGATATCGATAAGTTGAATTTTATCTGCATTTCGTTCAAAATCGGGCGGCTCTTCCTCTTTTTTCCACGACTGCATATTGTCCTCTTGGCTAAGTACTAAAATTTTTTAAATTACAACCTTATTTATTTATCGTAAATTAGTTTATTAAATTTGCTTTCAAGCAACTTATTTTTATTAACCAAAGCTAAAGTAATTGACTTAGAATCGTGCTAAAATTACAAATTGCAATTTAAAATAAAAATATTCGACTATATACTCTGTATTACGTAAATACAATACATAATAAGTAATACTTTAAATTAATGTTGCAATAACAAATTAATAAAAGCCTACCATCCACTTCTGGTTGAGATTTTTGAATTAATGAATTATCAACGTTTCCGAAATCTTCTTCCAAAAAGGAATCTTCGTATGTACTGTCCCTATTTTTATCTGAAGACTGTATAACGTCAATTTGTACAGGATCCCAATTCTCAGTCGGAATTATCATAATTTCGTCGGAAATTGATTCATTATTAATTTGCATTCGTAAATCATTCGCAGCAAGCAATTGCGATATTCTATGTAAAATTGATGGAAGCGTCGATGCTTTCAACCAATAAACTGCTGGAAAATTAATTCTTTCACATAATTCTGCTACTAAATGCTCTTCAAAATTTTCAGTTAGTTTAGCGTGTTTTTTTTTAGTAAGTCCACCACTAATACGTCTGAAATTATAAAAAAATAAGAATTAAGAATACATAATAGAATACATAATTGTAATTACAACATAAGACCAACCTTGGCTTAATGCAATTAATTTTTTTAGATATAGGCTTCACCTCCAATAAAGGTTGGTCTTCAAATTTAATATTCAAATTGTGTCTGACTTTGAAATAGTGAACATAAGAATAATAATCTTCCGTAGGAAAACACGAATTTGCTTTCAAGTATTCACAGACCTGCGTTACTACATATACATTTGACGATCTGTAACTAGGTGTAACAAGTGCTAATTCATATTCTGAATTTTTCACTAATCCTAAATCAGATGGTGGGATATTCTTAATAATTTTATAGTTTCTAACAATTTCCCAATCAATACACTGATTATAAACTAAAAAAAAAAATTTGAATAGTTAATACACATATATATATATATATATATATATACATTTATTTATACGTTATATTAAAATTTCATACATACCGGGAACAATTAAAAAGCTGTTATCTTTGTTTTTAACATCGAAAAATGCAAATTCCTTTATTACACCCAAAACATCGTCAAAGATTAGTGAGTGGAATTTTTTCAATGTTTCTATTTCATCCAATTTCATAGGTTTCAACCATATATTTCTCTTAATAGTAATTTCTATATCTCCCACATTCATAAATATAGGAAATGATGGAATGCTAGGCATACATTTTGTAGATAAAATACCATAAGTTTTTAGGCTTCTTAATAGATCGTAAAAAATGAAATTACGATTTTCATTTGGCTCTGGATATTTTGGTTTCATTTTTATTACATGTAAATATAAATATGTATTTGTTTGTGGAAATGCAGCATACAATACTTCTGGATGCTATAATAAAAGGAATTTTTTTCATAAAATATGTCAGTTTCTTCATTAAATGCACATACTCACTTTACAATTAATATAATTAAATATTTGCATTGTTATTACGATAGTAATAACAGACAGTTAATATAGATCTAGTAAATTAAAAAATTGTGCCTACTATAACCACTTAAATTAGATTAATAAAAATATATTATTTTGTTCATAAAATGATGTAATTATATATTCAAAAAAAAAAAAAAAAAAAAAAAAAAAAAAAAAAAAAAAAAATATCAAATAATTGTTCCGTTAATTATCTTATTTATATCCATTATTAAATCAATGATGCAAAAAAAAAAGTATAATTTAATTTGACCTATAACATAGTTATTTGAATCGCTCTTTCTATTAATAATAATATTGAAAGTCATATGTGTAATTAAGTATTAATTAGTAATCTAATGGAATAATAAAAAATATGAGTAATTGTAATGTCAATTTACAATCAATTCGTGACGCCGTTTTGTGCTGTGCGTTCCTGGAATTGACGGTAAGTCTTCTTCTTCTTCTTCTTCTTTATGGGGAAATAAGTATTTATGATTTTGTACATGATCTTCCACTTTATTTGGCAGAAATTTATCATTTAATTCTCCTAAATTATATAATTCAATACAAGTTTTGAGAGCTGCCGATTTTTTAGCAGTTGCAATTGTACTCTTTAAATCTCCCGAAATAGTCTTCTTTAAGGGAGATGATGTTGGTAATGTTAAAGTAACCTATGGTTAAATTATATTTAGTAATTATATACAACTATCCATGAGTAATCCTTAAGTCATTATTTCAAACCTTAAATTGCTCAAGTGCCGTAATGCTGCTTTTATAAATAATTTTAGTCCACGTAGGAGCTAGTAGAAAAAATTTGGATCTATCTAAATACGAGCAATATGCATTTATAGTAGATATAGCATTATGCTCTGTAAGAATACTTTTCGTTCCGTGTTTATTAGTGATTTTATATGGTTCGATTTCATAATGATAGAGCATATCACTAATTTCTTCAACAGTTGGTAATGAACGGTCTTGTGATGTGTGAAGCAATGCCTAATAAAATAAAAGAGAGAGAAAAAAAATGTTGATAATGTATTTCATTGTATAATATATAATTATGTATAAGAAATTATCAAATAATAATTGTAAATACACGCTCAAGATATTGTTCAGACTGTTGAAAAAAACTATAACGGCTCTTGTAACCATCTGGATCAGAAGTTAATGTTATGAAATAACTTTTTCGACTACGAGCTCTTCCTTTACTTTGTAAGTACGATCGAAAATCTACGGCGGGAAAATAACGGATTATTAATTGGCATGCGGGTATATCAATTCCTTCATCCATAATATCCGTAGCAATCAAACAATTACAAATACCGCTTTTAAATCTGTATTAAAAATTATAAATAAATAAAAAATCAGCTCAATCTTTAATGAAAATATAAGAATCTTTAATTATGAACGTAATTAAATAATTGCTACCTTTTCAATGCTTCTTTGTTCCACTTCGAAATACATACATTTTCTCTGGCATTTGTAAAGGCATTGGCATTATTGCCAATTACAAAGTCAGCTTTAATAAATTCATACTTTGGAACCGATACATGCAATTCCTGAAAATGTCGAAGAGACAATCGTGTTAATAAACATTATTTTAAACAACATTTCTTGTATGCTTAATACTTTAATTAATAATTTACTTTCAGTAAATGATATAGCACTTTTGCAGTAAATCGTCTTTGTACAAAAATTATACAAGAAAATTTATCGCTTAATTTATTATAATATGTCTTTATAATATCTAATAGCTTTATTATTTTTGGGCTAGAAAGTCTGAAAAAGAATAATTTTATATAACATAATGCAGTATACAAAAATTGAATTAATTACAAGCCTACTCTTCAATATTTTCTATTTTTAGATGCTCTATCTTATCATTTAAACATTTTTGTATTTTCATAAATTGAGTTATTATAAAATCCAATACTCCATTAAAATCCTAGAATGAATTCGAGAAGAAATTTAATCGATGTTTCTAATTAACAGTAATGTAATGGGACGCAAATTAATTAATGATATATTATCAACGATATTATACAAAACCTTATTGCATGTGAATTTCTTTATGTATTCAAGTTGTACCAAACGTAACAAAACACATTTGTAACCTCCAAATAAACCCATTTCTGCAAAGTGTATATTAATGTCATTTAGAACTAAAATTAATTTCTTTTCTTTTGTAGTGGCCTTGAATTCATCGCTACTATAATTTGTTATCCAATTGTCGCTAATGTCAAGAGTATTTATAACATCCTTAGTACACTCAATAATATTACTGATAGATGTAACTACATCACTTTCTACAATTTCATAAGGTACAATAATTTCTTGTGGTTTTATTGCATTAAGAAAATACGTAGATGATTCGGTGGTTATTATTTTTGCATGAAACGTAATTTCTAATTTCTTAAAAAAAATAATTAATTTCATCGAAAATAATTTAAATATACAAACAAAATTATTAAGATTGTAAAGAACTTATTGCAGCATCAAACCTTTAAAGTATCCATAATTTTGTTTAATTTAATATTGGAATTAAGTAAGGAAGCGGATAAGCCTAACACTCTTGGGTGTTCCTTCGCCGAATAGTCCTCAAACCTTTGCATTATTAATCTCATGGGATGGTTTTTTACAGCCCTATGACATTCGTCAAATACAATTAAATTAATATTACGCAGTTGTATAAAAGACTTTGCTATTAAATCTAAAAATATCTGTGGAGTCATAATTAAAATCTGAAAGTAATATATAATTTGTTGTCAATGTAACTCTATATTATATGTTATTGTTGTTAAAAAAAAAATATATATATATATATTTATTTAATTAAACGTACTTGATTTTCTTCAAATTCTTGTTCCCATTGTACGCCTTCCCAAAAATCAAGATTCATATCTCCTGTATAAGCTTTGCAATTAAAACATGTATGCCTCCTTAAATACATACATTGTTGATTAACTAACGAGATAGTGTTCGCTATAAATATAGTTCTTTTACCACCTTCTTTATAAGGCCTAAATTTCAAAACATAAAGAGATTTATTCACTGGATATAGATACATAGAATATAAAAAATTATCATTACGTACTTAATAATGGCTCCGCTCAATTTTTTTATAACTAAAACTGCTACGTATGTTTTACCCGAACCAGTTGGCATATAAATTATGCTATTATTTGCCACGGCTTTTTCATATAAATCAATTTGATAAGGTCTCGGGGTAAAGTCTTCCTGTTCGGCATGGTCATCATCCATATTTGTCAATTATTTTAATAATAAAGCGAATAACACGTTAAATCATTTAAGCTTTAATGCAAATAACGAATGCGTTTCAAATTAAAAGAACATGCGTGTACGTGTATATGTGTGTATATATATATATATATATATATATATATATATATATATATATATATATATATAAATTGTGCGCCTATAATATAAAAATATTGACAATAAAAAAAAGTACTGATAAGTTATATTTTGATATCTAGATTTGGTTGGTAATCGGAAGTTAACGTGACTGAAAACGTCGGCGGCCGAAATTTTCGACCGTCACGAACCTAGCGGATCTTCTAATCCCACAACGCCCCAATTTTATCATCCTTCTCGATTCCTTCTCCTAATTCCAATGGCAATTATTGTATGCAATGCAAGAAGCTCTAAAGCAGCAAGTACAACGTATGTCACATTCTTCATAAATAAATGTTTTATTATATTATCTTCGACTGTTCAGCGATTATCGTCGATTATGCTCGAGCAACCCGTAGGACAAGATATTTCTTAAAATTGCGCCGATTCGAAAGAGCCAATGAGCTTGAATTTCCCTGTTAAATGGCACTTTGTCCTCGGCTCCTAAGCCTTAAATTATTAATTAACAATAGGTTTTTAATGGAATGAAATGCCGTTAGTCGCTTAAAAATTCGCATAAGAATATTTTCGATTAAAACCCTCTACGTATTTCTATCGAATTTATAAATTGAATTACGTTCGACTGTATATCCGATATGGTCCTCGTTGTGAAAAAGGACGTGACAACTTTGTCCATTCGCTAAGGAATAATCATTTGTTATTCGACACTATCAATGAAATAATAACCGATGCCCAGCCGTTAAAGATATCTTATTTCCAGTTATTGTAGGCTAGAAAATTATTTCATCTACGACTGTTCAATTTTAAATGTTTAGCTTATGGCTCGAACTACCAATTCAATAGTTCAGTGGATTAGTCTCTCGTCAGGATAACTTTAAAGGAAATAATAAGTGACAAGGCTGAAAAATATGATGTATTCAGTAAAACAATGTTTATTATTTGTTAATAATTATAATAATATTGCAATGTTGTGTGTGTGTAGAGAGAGAGAGAGAGAGAGATAGATAGAGAGAGAGAGAGAGAGAGAGAGAGAGAGAGAGAGAGAATTATATTGAAGTAATGAGGGTGTGTGTGTCCTCGTATTCTTGATTATCGTAGATTTTATGGATATGATTGTGAATCTTGAAGTTGAAGTAATGCTGATGTTGTAAATATCAGCTGGTTTAGTCAATCAATCATGCTCATGAGGTAGCATGAGACGATGGTGTTTGAATCAAGTATGTTTCATGTATGAATAACTATACTTGATATGGTGTAAGATGTTTAATGCAACTTGTTGAGTAATCAATTATGTTTTAATTGTTTATGGGGGCAGTAAAAAGACTAGTCACACACACAAGAGTAATTAATGATAAGTCTTCGTGCTCTTGAAGGACTTAGTAATCTGTATTAATAGTCGATTAGTCGATCTCTTGTTCTCTTTCCTTGACAACGTGCTTGACGAATTGCGTCGTCGCTTGAGTCGACTCTTATGGGCCTGTACGGGGTCGAAGCGTTGGTTCGAGAGAGAGAGAGAGAGAGAGAGAGAGAGAGAGAGAGAGAGAGAGATATCGTAAGTTTGCCCGCTCTATTGATGTGGGCCTGTACGGGGTCGAAGCGTTGGTTCGACCGAGATAATGTGAAATTGTCCGATTTATTCTTGTGCGAGGTGTGACTAGCTTATTTATTAATATAAAAGAGGTACCATTGCGCGTATCATGTATACATGTGGTAGTTGTACATGGCTGGTGGTGGTTGTGTAGGTGTAATTGAAGCCGATCACGACTTTTAGTATAAGAAAGATAGTGGCCAATGGTCACTGACTCTTTCGGACTGCTTGGGGAATTGATTCGCGCGTATTTTCAGACTCGCGAAGCGAAACAAAAGCTTTTTTTTGCCTCGCGACATTTTTTTCTTTTCCCGCTCCTTTATTAATTAATCATCCACTGATTTATACGCGTATGCCGACTCAACGTTGAAAGATGTTTGTTGGCAAGTTTTTCTTAATTTATGAAGGAGAGTTTTTCCCGAATAACGAATAATTCGCCTCTTTTGGACATAGATAAATAGTAAGATAAGTTTGCACGGGCGAAAACTCCATTTAAATATCATGTATATAAGTTAAAATAACTTATAGCTAGAAAATACGTTTTATCGATACTACACACACCAATGCTTCGATTAAAATACGCGAGTAGTTAGAGTGAGATAAGTCAATTTTATGCCATCATACATGTATAATAAAAAATAATTATTTTTGCGCTAATACATTACGGACTATTGAAAGTCCGATACCCGCACTCTCACTGTCGTAATTTTATTAACTTTGTGTATAACGATTACACGTGTATTGCACGTATGAATCGCACTTCTTTTATCTGTCATACACTGATAATTCAAAACTTAAGAGCTACATTATAAATTTAAATGTTGCATCTATTTTTTTTTTTTAATTATGTATTTATTTATTTTTTCACATTACCAATGATGTTTGGATAAAAAAACTATTTAATTGCTATTGTACATATTATTCTAATTAATTATATTAAATATCATTGTTATTGTACATAATATTATGGAGTATTTATTGTATTGATTTTAATTAATCATAAGCGGAGCCTTGACTGTGGGTAAATTGTTGCCTTATAAATAAAACGACAAGTTGAATAAGGATCATAATCATTTTTAAATTACAAATCTCGCTATATTGCCAATTCATTGGATGACTAAGTCGAAAGGACAAATTCCAAGAAGATTCGAATAAATTATAAACAATTATTTCAAGCTGATGTTTCTTCTCGACGATTTATTCTCCATCGAGTATTTTTTTCAATAGGGTGATTAAGCGGGTTTTCACACTATTCCTGGTTGCGATACGCTTGTTTGTCATCTTACCTTTTAAAACTATTAAACAAAGTATAGTTGGAACTGCTTTTCAGAACAATCATTGGCTTTGCCAATTGAATTTTTTTTTTTTTTTTTTTTTTTTTTTTTTTTTTTTGGTTGTATACATTCTTTTACAAAATGATTAAAGGATGAGAAAAGAGAAATTCTTACTAGATATATATGTAACTTTTTTGTTGTTGTGGTTAAATGACTTATTATTAACGATTACATCCTTACGAAATTAATTCAGAATTATGCTAGTTTTCAGCAAAAAATGTACAACTAACGAGTACAAAATAATTATAATATTACGAACATTATGCTTGCAATGAGATGTTTGTCAATTATAATTTTTGCAATAATAAAGAATTTTGAATTGCTTCAAGCAAGTGTTTATACTTCTTTGCAAGAAAAGGCTACGAGATAAATCGTACTCCGACGACAGTTAAATGGGATGTGAGCGTAAAGGAGTATAATAAATATCGAAGGCTGGACGAAAAGGAGTGCACCAGCGTCATAACCGTTTGTGTACTGATTGCCCATGTAGATACGCAATTAGTGCCTTTTATAAATTCTACGAATTTCATTGGATAAAAAGAAAGTACGAAAAAAATGCGAATGACTTGAAAAGCCTTGGGTCTGCCTGAACGAAAACAACAAAAAAAAAAAAAAAAAGATTCTCGAATCTGATTTGGATTTATTTCTTCAACACAGGCTACATTTAACTGGAGGTGGTTATCGTAGTATTGAATCATTGGAGGCAACAAACTGCACATACAAATGCTTACGGGTTCAGGCATCAATTTTATAAAAGGTCCTGAATTTCCAAGAGCGCATTTTCGTCGAATGATGTGATAATATTTCAAACGTATAATAAAAAAATCGAAGAAATACTATTTTAAATTTTATTATTGTTTATTTTGTTGTATTTTATAATGTTTCATATCCCATTATTATTGCCATAGTGTCTATTTATTAAAATTAATTGTTTTCTAAAAAATTTATGAACAAGGACAAAAAAGTACTCTCTCATTTATTTAAAAGCGTTGAAAATTACTACCCCCCCCCCCTCTTTTTTTTGCTTGTTATATTAATAATAAAATATTTGTATGCCGTTAAGTTACATTATTCGTTGCATTATTATTTCATACCATAATAACATTATTATTTTTAGCTGTAAGAATTTTTTTTTTTTTATATATCGTAGCATGGTGAAAGTGAATCGTTCATTCCTCCGTAGACGGCTCATTGTATGCTAATGATTAGCCAACATTCAGAGACAGAAACATCTTTAAAAAAAAAAAAAAAAAAAAGAGCCAAGCAAAGAAAACAGTTAGAACGGAAACATAAGATAAGCGACCAAGTAGCGAGTCGCTTTTAACTTGTGTAAATAACAAAATGATTATCTGCGATCTTTAAAATTAAATGCTCTCGATACATATAAAAACTTTTTGATATATTTACTTGAGTCTGTCATACTTGGCGCCCGCAGGCTCTTAATTCAGTAAAATACTAAAATTAAGAATAAACAACATCAAATGTGTATTTATAATTTTTATATTCAAAGTTAAATTACAAAAATAGAATTTTATTTTAAACCAGTTGGACTGCCATTTATCAATTAACCTTTATAACTAATAAATAAGTTTAATTTTTACGTTCTTTATATGCCCGACAGAGTAAATTTTATAACAATTCAAGTTTGTCGAATTTACCGATATTACATTTGGCTTAAATCTTAATAAAACGGCCGTTCGGTTCGCCCTTTCAATCTGCTGATGTTTATTCTTCTTTCAAAACCTTCTTATCGCAGTGTTATGTCTGATTTTGATAAGTTAGTTATCTTAAGCCAGTCTTATATTTCAGTATTATAAATTGCGTAATGATTGCCCTTAAATGCAATATCGTCGATATATGTTTCAAAATATACTCTGTACAACTCTCTATATATACAATTGTTAGCATTTAAACATAATCGCAGAAACTATACAAAAATTTGCTATTTTTAATCAAATTTTTAATAAAAAATATTGTACATACAAAATACCACCGAATGAATTCTATTATCGAGCATTAATATATCGTGTATTATCTCTACAAAGCCAGTAAAATTTTTAATGAACTGTAGGTATTGTTATTACAACTTTCATTAGCTTTCAAACATAAATTCTAATATCCACGGTGAATGTATCAACTTCACCAAATCAATATTGATAAATAATTACGAATAATTTTCGGATAAACAGGTAATTTACAGTTTCTTTAAGCCTCCTCTTATAAAATTTATCGACGATATACGTGCAAGAAAAAAATAGTTGCTTATTTAAATGTTTATAAAGACGCAAATTTGGTTAATTCGTTCGATTACTTTATTCGCATTCGAATTTATATTTGCAGATATTTTAGTAGTTTCGGATTATCGTATCAACTGGTTAATTATTATCTTATTAATGCCTCCCGAATGACCCATTATTCAATTTTGTCTAAAATCAATTACCTTTGAGCAACGTGCAGTTTTTTCCATTAATATCGAATGCCGAAAAGTGCCTGGACTTCCATAATAATCATTAAAAAAAAAAGAAAATAACATTATAAGCTTTAAGATAATCAAAAATAAAAGTATATATATGATAAATAATCATCCTTTTCATTTTGAAATAATTTGTATAATTGTTAACTATTTACTTTGGAGATTATAAACGAAGTTTTATTTTTAATATTTTTTTAGTGCTCAAGATTCAAGCATTTTTCAAGACATTTGGCTCTATAAGCCTTCCAGTTCTCGAATTCTTCGACCTTTCAAAGCTTCACTTTCCCGGAATTCTCGAAACTTCTAAAGCTTTATTCTCGCATGTCCTGGAATGTTTATCTGGCTTCTGCATAGCAACATCTATCCATTATTACGAGCTAACTAAGCTGCCGCGTGGATATTTAAAACAAGTACGCGTCGAAGCTCTCTCTTTCTCTATCTCTGTCTCTCTCTCTCTCTCTCTCTCTCTCTCTCTCTCTCTCTCTCTCTCTCTCTCGCCCTATCTCTTAACAGGACCGCCCCGGAAGGAACACGCGTTCAATTTCGTATTCGCATTCAACTAGATAACCGGCAGGAGGGAAAAGGTGTTGGAAGAATAAATCACTGGCGTTGTGATACCGTATAATTCAGTACGAGAACTATTCAAGCGAGATGGTAGTAACCTCGAGAACACAACTAAGGACTTATAAGTTCCAGAGTTCACAATGCGGTAAAAATAATAATATATAAAGGTAAACTTTTAGCGAGTATTCGCTTCCACGAGTCAGTGCATGCAAACCCCATTCAACGTCACAACAAAGTATCCAGCCATTTCTTCACACTTCCACACCACATAACGTCAAGGAGGAGACCAGCAATCAGGTCACCACCACGTAGTGCTACACTAAGAGGTGTCCAGAGATTAACGACCTCCTACCTCTACCAAGCAGTGCATGCTGACATTACGTGGCAACCATCAAGGAGCTGCAAGATTTCAACGATTCTCATCATCAACATAGAATCATGATAGTGCAGTTGAATTCTCAACAGTTAACAAATAAATAATATTTATAATATTTAATTTAATAATTTAAATAAATAGTATTATTTTTCCATATTGTAATAAGATTAATATCAAAGCATATTTGTAATATTTATAAAGATGAAAAATCATTACTGATTTCAACGATCCCAAACGAAGATAATTTAGCAGATGAGCGATTAAAAGCTCTAAATTTTGTCAAATAAAATTGAAATAATATTTTCTATTTTTATTGATTAAATAGAATATTGAATAATAAAATATTCGTTCCTTTACAAAATACATGCATATTTCATATTATAGCTGAATTTATTCCCCCTTTTTTTTTTTTGTTTTTTCTTCTTCTTTTTTTTATTAAGCAAACGTAATTCATACAGTCAATGTAAATGCAAAAATATACTTGCTGTATTTTGCATTCAAATAATATTTATGAACGATTCAAAGAATAAAAGATATTTTAAACCTATTTATACCTAGAGTCGCTTAATTTTTTGCCATTAGGATTAATATGCAAGGAGATTGTGAAGTTGAAAATGTGTACTTAAATCATTTTCTGGTAAAAAATGAAAAATATCTAGAGCAGGATTGCCAAACGCAAAAAAAAAATAAGAAATCTTATATGAAAGTCTGGGGGGAATTTACCGTAAAAGTACTTTTTTAGGATAAAATGTGACAATAATATATATATGTTTATATTTATTTGTGTATATACATAGTATATACGATTTTACACAATAAGTAAATATCTATTTATTATTTTTAATGTTTATGCATGTATATTGTAAGCCTATTAAACTATTATGACATAATATTTTTATCTTATTATTATGATTATTTTGTAATAATATTTTAACAATAACGCGATAGTGTACTTAAGTTGTACTTAATTGCAGTGTATGGTTAACAAAAATTTGTTTTTACCTTATCGATTTTGTATGTTATAAGCTATTTAAATTATGTTGAGGAATCTTAATAAAATATACATTCTATTCTGTGAATATTCAACAAGTAAATTTCCATCAAAATCTTCGACAAAAGTATTTTATTTAATAGTAATCTTATTATTTAACATGTTTATATTGCTTATACAAATATTTATCCTTTCCTTCTTTCGTAGTTAGAAAGTCTGAGGAAAAGATTAAATCAAGATGTTAAGACATCCATACTCACCGACTCGTTTGGTCGTTGTCATACGTATCTTAGAATATCTTTGACAGAACGATGTAACTTAAGATGTATGTTAAATCATTATATTAATAATACTCATCGTTAAAATTTTATTCTTTCCTTATCAATTTTCAAAATCTTTAGGTACATATTGTATGCCCGCTAATGGAGTTACACTCACAAAAAAAGAGAATATTTTAAGCACCGATGAGATTATTAAGTTGGCTGATCTTTTCATTAAAGAAGGCATTACAAAAATTCGTCTAACTGGAGGAGAACCAACAGTGAGAAAAGATATTATCGATATTGTAGGTAATGACGATCTTATATTTGTATTATTATTTGGGTTAGTTTTCCTAAAGTAAAAATTCAATGATCAATTGTATTTTTATTATCATAATTATTTAGCACAACTCAAAAGTCTTAAGGGATTAGAAACTCTTGCCATGACAACAAATGGCATTGCATTAACTCGAAAATTACCAGCGCTTCAGAAAGCGGGTTTAGATTTATTGAATATCTCTCTGGATACTCTAAACCATAAACGTTTTGAGAAATTTACGCTTCGACGTGGCTGGGATAATGTGATGGCTTCTATCGATTTAGCAATTCAATTGGGATATAGTCCAGTGAAAGTAATAATTACACTTTACCTTAACCAGTACTAAGATCTTAATAAAATAAATAATTAATTTTATTCCTTAGATCAATACAGTTGTAATGAAAAATTTCAATGACGACGAGCTATTAGATTTTGTAGAACTAACGAAACATAAAAACATTGATGTTAGATTTATTGAATATATGCCTTTTTCAGGCAATGAATGGAATACTAAGAAAATGATATCATTTTCCGAGATGAAACAAATTATAAGAAAAAAATTTCCTGAATTTCAAAAACTTCCCAATAAACTGAACGACACATCCAAGGTACATGTTTTGCTTTTGTTATAATTGTAAATTATGATGAGAGTTTAAATTGCGAAATTAATAAAAATAATTATAATTTTATTATATTTAAAAATTTTTAATACAAAATTCACTTTCTTATGCAAAAAAGTAAGTAAATTATAGACTGTGAAAATTAAATGAGATATTTAAATTCTTATTGTTGTTTAAATTAGCAATTGAAAATTTTATAATATTTGTCATTTTAACGTTTATTTTTATTTTCATTCCTAAATTTGCCTATACATATATTGTAGGTAACTTTTAAAAACATACTCAAACTCATTTATTTCCATATATTATTCTTAATTTCAAGGCTTATCGTATTCCTGGATTCGTAGGTCAAGTAGGATTTATTACTTCTATGAGCGAACAGTTCTGTGATTCTTGTAATCGTTTGAGAATTACAGCCGATGGAAGCCTGAAAGTATGTCTTTTTGAAGGTAAGGGGGAAATTTCATTACGAGATGCCTTAAGAAGCGGTGCTTCTACAGAGGAAATGAGGACATTAATACATAGAGCAATATTTAAAAAGAAAAAACAACACGCAGGTATAAAAATAACTATAATGAATACTTTTGCTTACCAATAGCATATCGTGTAATAAAACTAAAATTATTAATTTACCTTAGCTTCGAAGCCAGATCTATTATTCTTTTGCTTAATGTTACAGGAATGCTCAATCTTAGTCAAATGGAAAATCGACCTATGATATTGATTGGTGGTTAATAATTGTTGAGAAATTTTATTTTTATTCACGATATTCGTTAGATACTTTTATTTCGTCTCGGTACGCTCAAAGTATATCAATGTTTTCAAATGCCTTTAGATATAGTACTATTGCATCTACTATTTCCACCATCGAACAACTTAAATGTATTAAGGATTATTTCTCTTGTTCCAATTTCAGTTAGAAGATGTGAGAAAAATGTTATTGTACCTGCAAAGCTAGCATATCGTAATGGAATTTCATTGAATTCGTTAATCAATCTGGCTCTTTCAACTCACTGGAGTAAGCAAGATTATAGATTATATTCATCACTGACACACGTAGATAATAATGGTAAAGCAGCGATGATCGATGTAGGATCAAAGAATCCTAGAAGTCGTATTGCCACTGCCAGGGGATACGTTCATATTGGACCAGTACTTACTAAATTAATCATGGAGAACAATGTACGGAAAGGTGATGTGTTAACGATAGCTCAGTTAGCTGGAATAATGGCCGCCAAAAGAACATCGGAATTAATACCGCTCTGTCATCCATTGATGATAAATTGCGTGAGAGTAGATTTGAAGGTGAACGAGGCTTTGAAAAGAGTTGAAATATTGGCTGAAGTGAATTGCGATGGGAAAACTGGCGTTGAAATGGAAGCACTAATGGCTGTGAGCGTTGCAGCTCTAACCGTGTATGACATGTGCAAATCAGCAGTGCCTTCGGATACAATGCATATATCGGGTGTAGAATTAGTCTCAAAGGTGGGGGGTTCCAGGGGCGATTTTCATCGCCAATGACATTATAAATACCAACAAGGCATTTGACAATACTTATATACCTATTTTGAATGAAGATTTAGAATAAATTTTAATTATATACAACAAACATAATAATACAGATTAATGAAAAGTATTTTATAGAATAAATATACAATTTTGTTATGTATTACCATTTATAAGTAAATGAAATAAAGAAATTGTTTACATAAGTAAGGGCTATGTCAATTTCTTCCTTGAAGGTTCTTCGTGTACTCTCACTTGCATAACCGAACGTGGCCCACATCTCCAAATATTTCCACTTTCATCCAATATATTTGCACTGGCTGTTACTTGATATTGGCCACCTCCGCCACTGCTACCACTACTACTACAACTACTTACGCTGCTTCCGCAAACGCTATTGTTACTTTGCGAGCCCAGTGAGAGTAAAAATTCACAAGTGAAAAAGTCACGATGTGGAACGACAATTTGTTCGAGCTCACTAGTATTGGTATCCTGTGGGAGATAATTATCCATATTAGTCAAATTTCTAATCAATTTTTTGATTACCGACTAATCTTGCATTATATTTAATAATCATTAAATGTAATGGCAAATTTTTTAATCTTATCAAGTTCAATTAACTTTAATAAGCGTCGACTCAAAGGCAGTCAGTTTAGTTTATATTTATGTGATTACGCTAGACGGCAAGCGAATAAAACATATTGCCCGTCCATTGCAAAAATTGTACCAACATTATCCACCTTAATGAAACGTGCACATCGAAGGTATGCAAAAACTTAAAACAATCCTTAAATCGAGTACACTCGGTAAATTATTTCTCAAAAGTGAGCGCGGGTGGACGTTCCGAGTCGTGGGTGAAATTTTGTACAATCCATATTAAAGTTTCGAATAACAATGATAACAATGATAACAATGATTGGCCATCTCCCCCAGAGGTCCATCGACTCTCGAAACCTCACCTTTTTCTCTGAACTGGCTTTGGATGGGGGTGTGGTGGAGATGGTGATGCATATAGCGGCAACGGACCGGAAGAGTGAAGCCCGCTTGCCGTGGGTGAGGACACCCTCGACTTTGAGCGCGAGCTGACTACCCTGGGGTACGGAGACGGGCTCCCCGAGGACCCGTGGCTGCGGCAGCACCGACAGATTCACGCTCGTCTCTTGGAGCGTTTGGAAAAAGTAACGCGGCACCGGGAGACGCAATTTGCTCGAAGCCAGGAGCGTGAGCTGGGATATGAGATTGCCGACCCGTAGATGACTGATACCACTCGTCTTTCTGCTCGACGTCTCGTTGTCGGCGTCTCCAGCCGGCGCTAAAGCCTGAATCTGTATGCAGCACTTGGCCAGCTGCTGCATCTCCACGGTATCGCCGAAGCCAAAGGCCGCCACATCGGAGGAGGGGAAACTCGTGGCGACCGGGGGCCCACCGCAGACGCGCTGCACACTATGGGCCATCAGCAGACACAGCTCTTGAAGACTAATCGTTTATTTTTGTTAAGGAATTAAGGAATTTGCGTCATTTTGACAAGGAGCAGCCGCTCGTTTCTCGTTTCTCTTTCTCTCTCTCTCTCTCTCTCTCTCTCTCTCTCTCTCTCTCTCTCTCTCTATATATATATATATTTATTTATTTATTTATTTATTTATTTACTTTTCTCTCTAATTTTGCCACGTTCGAAAAGTTAGCTTCGCTTTATGCCAAACATCATTAATCGATCTTACACGTTGCAACGAGTTGCGCGCTAGATCACGAGCAATTGAATTGAATTGAATTGAATTGAACTGACGATTAATTTTGGACTTTACGTCGACTTTAAGGAAATAAATTTTCGTGCAACTGCGAGGCTTGATTTTCTTTTATTTTGCGGGGAAGCTTCATTTAATGGGCCGTGTGTATTTAAGGTAAAAGACAAACAAAATTTTCGCTCTTCATAATAACCAAAATGATAAAAAGGATACGCTTTTATGTTATTTAAAGAGCCAGAGTCAGCGTCAAATGCCGACTGATACAATTTTTGATAATTCTCAGCACACGTCCGTAACTCGAGCACGGACTTCCGTAGCTAAAAAAAAAAAAAAAGAAAGAAGCAAAATAACGACAATGTATAAGGTTGCAATTAAAATATACAAGCTCTGGGAGGTTATTGCCTACCTGACTCGTTACGCGTCCGTATCTTTGTAATTCATCTTTAGCTGTATGAGCTTCGTGAGCGGCGATTGCATAAGGCGGTGCTGTGCACAATGATCTGCACGAATGTAACAGTTGCACCAGCGCTTGGAGAAATTCGCATCGCAGCTTGGAATAGTCAGAAGCGAATTGTAAATTGCGTATGGGTGTGCTCGCGGCCTTGAACGAGGCACAGGCACTTGCATATCTCGATATGGCTCCGTTTAACTTTTTAACTGTATTATTACTATCAACCTCAACGTCATCTCTTAAAAAAAAAAGAAAGGGGAAAAAAATATATACATATATAGAATAAGCAATGTTAGACTTATCGATAGTTGCACTCTTTTTGTAATTAGAGTGAAATGAAATTGTCGTTTACTAACAATAAATAGCTCTCTGCGCTTGTCATTAATTCTAGACCTAATAACCAGAAATGAAGCTGTTCGGAAGCCACGGCTTCTTTTAGAATTTTGAATAAATGTGTGGCGATTTTGTGATGCCCATATCTTGTTGCTCCACGTGCAATCCTATATCTATTCCAACTGTCAATGGACTTTATCACCGAGTCAATTGCATCTAGGCATTCGGCATTCCATTCGTAACCACCAGCTACCATTTGAAAAAGTAATGTACATAGCATTACTTTCGTATGAGTATGCGGTGTTTTTTTTAGTTTTACCAGAATATCAGGAAGAAGAGGAAGCAAAATATTCTCTCCTAAACTTCCGATTGCACCCAAAGCTTCGCAAAGTACAACGGCTTGATGATCATTTTTTTTATTATTGGTATTTGTGTTGACAAGAGTAGAGCCAATTGCGTCAACAAAAATACTACAATGATTATGTTGCACTTGACAGATTTTTACGCTCAGCTGAAGGCATACTTTTAATTGATATAAATATTTGTCATCCAGGGCCAAAAGCATTATCAATGATTCTAAACAGGAGACCACATCTTGTATACCATTGACCGGCAGACCTTCTTCGTAGCTAAAATAAAGAAAAATAAAAAAACACCAATTGATTCATTAATAAACCCGTTTAACCTTATCCTTTAAAATTAAACAAACATTTATATTATTTACGATGTATAATAAACAAGCATCTATATTATTTACCAATAGCAAGTTATCCTAGCTAAAATTGTAACAGCTTTAACAGCAACGATTGGATTTGGAGAATAACAAGCTTTCGAACACAAGGCTATTAGGGGATTCCCTTCTTCCATATTGGCATCGCAAGTTACCGGACTTTCACTTAACACCTTATTTTTCGTAAATAAAATACAAAATAAATATAAATTCCTTTAACGAGAAGATAAAGTGTTATAAAGAAAAATATACATTGTCTTTAATCGGTTGGTTTAATCTAACGATGGCAATGTCATTTTTTACAAAATACAAGCACGCATTGTTAGTTATAAAAACATCATCGAAACATTATGTATTTGTTAAAAAAATAGATGTAATTTAATATTCAAATAAGTATAATAAATTATAAATACCTCGATGACATTTAAAGAACGAATAAGTAGATTGATATTTCTTGCACCGTCTTGTAGAAGAGTCGTGGTACTATCTAAATAGCAAATCCATAGAGACAATCAAAAATATATTAGACAAATGGTCATCGCCTAATAATATTCGTATGACTTTAATCTCAAATACGAAACGTAAGAGTATACGTATTTATGATCTAACCAATTTATAAACGCAACAAATTATAAAAAAAGATATTGATATTACCAATGAGCTGAGCCAATGCTCCCTGCGGCCAAAGATGTGCTCCTTTCTTGGCTAAAGAGTGAAGAAGTTGTAAGGCATGTGTTTTTATCGAAGATCTAGGATCTTCGAGTAAATATTGCAAAAGTAGCGTGACTTGCGCTGGTACGTTGATCAATGTAGCTGAGGCTAAAGTTGTCGATGCACTTAACGTTACTCGTACAAATTCTGCGGCAGGATAACTTTCAAGTAGCTCCATGCATAATTCGTTTGCCTGTAATAAATCATATTTTCAATTTGTCGACGTAATAAGAATAAGTTCAATTATTGTAAAACTATATAAAATAATACAACGTTCTTTGTACCATCGAGGCAGTCGAAATGTCATGATGCATATATTGTAAAATAGGTATGAGCTGTAATTTCATGGTTGCTGGGGTGGCCTGACCTCTTATCATGTCGGAAATTTTGGTGCACATAAAAATTGCAAATAACTTTGATTGAGCCGCGAACATTTGGGCCGCATAAATTGCTGCTTCGACTTGAACTAAATCGTGGCAATCCAATGATCTTCTAATACTATGGTGAACCTAGAACGTCGAAACCGATTTAAAACATTAAACGTTAATCGAGCAAATTCATAGAAATTGGGGATAGAAACGAATAAATTTGTATAATACATGTTTCCTTTCTGGTATAATTCTGGCGACGCTACCCAAGGTCCTTAAAGTTAATGCTTTGGCAACCGGATCATTAGAATGCATTACACTATAAATTCTTCTAACAAATTCATCGACGTTTAAAATTTTATCCAAATGCTTTTCGCTTTGCTGGCAAACACGAAGAACCCATACTCTCAAAAAATTGCTGCCTACGCGAAAAACATCTGCCAATTTTAAGAGGGACGAGTTGATTAAAATAGGAAAAGGATATTTTTCGAAAAGTTTTGGATATCGAACAATAGCCTCGCATTGTTCTCCTATTTTAGCTGACCGTAGTCCTAGAAATAACAAATATTAATTAATAGCTAATTAATTCTGTCCGCACTGCAATATAATAGTTTAAAAATAAAATGTTAATTAAGTAATGAAACCTTTGTCAAGTTCAATAAGAGCTGTATTTGGATCTTGTTCTGATTCTCCTATCGATGAATCGTTAAAGGCGTTCATTCTCATATTAATCATATCAACAATAAATTGAAACTATGACTATTTTCTTCTAAATTTAATGATTATCATTCTACATTGTTTTACAAAATACTCATCCGTACAAAAATATTAATACAATAATATCCACGTATAATAATGATGTGATATTCATATTTCAAGGCCAGTACACAATGTAAATATTAACATTGGTTCCTTCTGCGTTCTGTCCAAAGTTTTATCTCTTAATCAATCAAATAAGACTATCGGCCTGCCTCCTCGGCTGTATCGGTAGATAATAATTTTCGATAACGGAAGAGCAAAATATCGATTGAAAATAAAATGCATAGGGCCGGCTGGAGCATCGACTACGAGACTACGAAAAAGCTACTCACTTGCATTATATATATATATATATATATATATATATATATAATTATAAATTGAAATTGAATCGCGGAGCAATGGAGTAGTAAGGCGTCATCTACGCCTCGGTTGGTAATGCAGGGTCGTGAGTGACGACGATTCGGCAGCGAACGCCGAAAGCTAAAATCCAGAGAGAGCAAAGTCGCTTCTGTCTCACTTGTAAATGCCCCAAGTTTATAACACCAAGCAAGAAAAATAAAAGACAGAAAACTTCAAAATGGCGAATCTAGCGAGTGTGAGTGGTGTGTAACAACAGTCATTCTTACATTGCCCTTACTCCGACAAGCGTAACACTGCGTCCACATACATATTGATACCATTACTTCGGTAATATTGAGACAAATTGAGAAGCTGCATTCACAATATTCAAGCTGAATGTTCATCCAAATGTCTGCGATCGCCCATTCTATGCCAGGTATATTGTGACGCGACTCTGTTGTATACAACCAAAGATAACGTCAACTTTACTGTAGCCAGCGTTTATTTACCTATTTGTTTATCACTTGTTTTATGCAATTTTTCTTCTACAATTATTTACTTTTGCCTGGTCAGTCGGAATATTGCGCAAGGCAAATTGTTAAATATGACTCTAAGTTAACGTTTTTGAGCACCGAGTAAAGTATGATAATGAATGCCAATGTTGATTAAATGAAAATATAATTCTTTTAGGTAGTAATCCAAGTAAATTGTCGCAGAATCGGAACGCTGAAAGTATTGGGTAAGTATATTTATAAATAATTTACATAATCTTGGTAGATTTAACCAATCGTGCTAGAAATATTGTAAATTAGTCAATCGTAGTCACGAATATTTTATACGTTGATTTAATAAGATCTTGACAATCTGCAATATAAAATTGATATATACCTTGAATGCTTAAGACTGATTAGCTAGCGAATCTATATATGTATTATTCAGAATTTGTGAATAACATATGATTTATTTTAATTATTCGTAACTGGTATCTATGGAATATATTTGATTTGAGAAATCTCCATTAACGAATAGGTTTTCCTTGTGTATCGTAGGTTAAAATTAAATAATTATATGTTGTTAAGTACAAGGAGAATATTCTCGAGTGAAGCGAGTCATTTATTAAGTAAAATATAATTTACAAAGATTTAAACATTTTACAAATTTTTAATAAAAATAATGTATAATCATGAGATGATTAAATTAAATATTATTTTTCATAAATTTATTTAAGTAAATTATTTCTTTCTACATATCTGGATAAAGTCGGTGTAGATTTGTTTATTAATGTATATAATAAAACAAAGATATTAAAATATAGCAGGATTAACTGTAAAATTAAAATGATGAAAAATATACTTTGGAACGATTGCACATGAATTTGATGTTTGTATACATAATTTAATGATTTGTGAATATTTCAATTATATATCTATATAAAAAATAATTTACGGATTAAATCATATAGTTAATACAAGTAACCATAAAATGTTGAGCTTTTGTAGACATTTTAGTATAGTAGACATTTTGAATTAAGTCTAGAATTAAAATGCTCAACTTTTTAAAATATTTTAATTATTAATACCGATTAAATGGAAACATGATAAGAAGATGTAAAATTATATATTCTAATATATGAATTACAAATAGTTAAATCTTAATAATATAATATAAATCTATGAATAGATTCATAATAATGTGAATTTAGCTTACACACACACACACACACACACACACACACACACACAAAAATGTTAAAACGATAAAAAAATAAATAATAAAATCTGACGAATTATCTATAAAACATATTGGCATTTTAGTTAAATTATTTATCTATATTACAAATTCTTTTAAAACGACTATATTTTTTATTCCCATGACATTTAGTAAGTAAAAGTATTACTAACAAAAGTGCACCATCGTGCAAAAAAAAGTTTCATTTCATTGTACTAAATTGAATTTAACTATATTAAATATAATTACTTCAATCAAATATCGAGTTAGTGAAATTTTTTATTATTAATTTATGTAAGTTATTGATAAATAAATTAAACGTGTCGATGAAATTTGTAAAACACTGTTACATAAATTTATAAGTATCTTAAATATGTATTTTAAAAATTTTAAGCAAACATTTTAAACATAATCGGTTTAAACAATTTTGGAATGTTGTTAGCAATCAACACCTTTAAATTTAAATTAAAAAATTTATTATAATTATAAGAATTTACATACAAGAATTCCTTAACTAGTAGATCATTTGGTATTTATAAATGATATATATATATATATATATATATATATATATATAGATTTGGACTGGTTTTAAAGTAATTAAATTATTCAATTAGATGTTATGATCTGTGAAATCGAATTATTTATCAAATCAATATTTCTAATAATTACTGTTTCGTAATTCATCTTCATATACGTCTGAAAGAATAGATACTTCAAAAATCCAAATTGATTTTTAAAACGAAAATGGCTAAATATATTATTAACATATGTATATTTCCTAAAAGCTTAATAAAATCTGAAATCTTTTTTATCGACCCTCGTTACGAGGCTGAAGATATTTAATTATTTTAAATATAGTGACACTGGACAAAATTTTTCCACGATCTTATTTTTAAGTTATTATTTCTTATTTTACACAGATTTGAAAAATCGCTTTGTGCGAAGCGTTCAATTTTCAATTAATTCATACGAAAATGTTGCGCAAAATTTAAACATAAATAAAGCGCACCGATAATATCCGACTTTCATTAAACAATGAAACCTCAAAAACAATTGTCTTCCACTTGTAATTTTACACCATTAGTGATTTTATATTAAAATTGAATATTATATTAAATTTTATTATATTCGAAGAAAATTTAGAGCGCGCACACACACCATATTCATAAGATCGTGGGAACAAAGTTTATCAAGATCTTTTGCTCGATCCCTAGATTTCCAATGATTTCGTGCTTAGAATTAATTTAAGTTACGAATTACAAAGTATTAAAAATAAGAAAGAGTAAGGCTTACATAGGCAAAAGATATTTACGCTCTTTCTTTGCCCTCGTTTTCCACGACACTTTACCGTCCTTCAATTACTTAATAGTTTTGCCCAAGAGTATATAGGATGCGCATATAAAGGCGCCATGCGTATTATAAACACCAATTAATGATAATTAGTTGCCTCTGTCGGGCTTAAAAGATTGCGAATTACTCAAGACGTCATAGTCGGATACGTGTAGAGAACCAATGGGCATGTGATTTCAATGGTAGAGGCGTTTAACTTCTAGGAGGCTGCGTGCTTAACACGAAAGGAACGAGTCCGGCGTGCAGATAAACGATTTTTGATGAACGCCCCGTACTTTGGAATCAAATGCATTGGGCCGCGATTACACCTTACCGGCGTAGATTTAAGTGCCCGAGGCTCATCGTTACCGCTCCCGTCCCAAGCATCGAGCTAAACACATTTACAACCCTCGAGCCGACTTTGGGAGCCCGAGCTTTCTGACGGTGATGGACACGGAGCTTGCGGCTCGGGCCCCGGCGCTTCGTCCGACTAGGTAGGAGGGAGTCACGTTCGGTCGTTCGGTCGTTTGGTCGGTCGGTCGGTCGGTCGGTCGCTCGCTCGCTCGCCAGCCACGGCTCTTCAGTCGTTCGCGGTAAGCGTGGGTGACGAGATACACAATACACACGGGGAGTGAGAGGGAAAGCGAGAGACCGAGAGGAGTGAGTGAATGAGTGAGTGAGAGTGAGTGGGTAAGTGAGAGTGAGTGAGTTGGAGAACGAGAGAGAGAGAGAGAGAGAGAGAGAGAGAGATACAGACAGATAGAGGGATAGAGCGCCGCGCGGTAGGAGCGCAAGGGGGCCAGGCAATGAGCGGAACCAGGTAGGATGTACGAGGCCAGCGGTGGCGGGCCCTATGAGGGGACCGGCTACGGGGAGCTTGGCCAGCAGCCTTACCAGCAGCCGCCGGGCCTCGTCGTCGGAACCCCGAGCCACCTCATGGCCTATCCAGCCGACCTCTCGCCCCATCACCACCACCACCAGGTGCATCAGTTGGCCCAGCCGGAGCCTCTCGGTTCCTCCAAGAGACGTAGGTAATGCGTGCGCGCCCGATTCATTTTCTCCTCTGCTTTAATCTCATTGCTCGTGCTACGCTTTTTACCTTTTCGTCTTTATCGCCGCGTGTGCCACGCGTCGGGACATCGGCGGCAGTTCGCTTAAAACCCCTCCCTCTCGCTCACTCCCGCTCGTTTGCGCGCTCTGTTTTCGTTAACGTTTTACACGCGGAAGTTTTTTCTTCTTTTTTTTTTCTTCTCTCTCTCTCTCTCTCTCTCTCACTCTCTCTCTCTCTCTCTCTGTGTGTTTTTTTCTTTTTTTCTTTTTTATTATATACGTGTCGAACGAGCACATTTCTGAACGAAAACATACTGATAACCGAGCTCGCGATTATTTTCGGCTGTTGCGCTTGTGTGCCAAATGAGCGCTCGCTTTTCAATACGCTCGCTAAACTTTCCCCTCTTTCCATATCAATACTCACAACTAAGCTCTACCCAAGCAAGCATCCTGTCGATGCTCATCATTCTCCCAATACTTATCACGCGCATTTCCATTCGTCGCAATTACAAAATTCCTCGCGCAAGCATTTCTTTGACAATAAAGGGGCAATAATTTAACATCATAAATCTTTCTACGTTTAACGAATAATCTTTCACCCATAGAAAACCTTATATATATATATATATATATATATATTTTTATAATTTTTCATTTGTGTACAATTTATTTAATTTTTTCAATTCTCTCTCTCTCTCGATAAATTTATTCATACATTCAGCCATTTAGCTGTATATTCATTTCCCTATTTGCCCCTCTATCTCTATTTTTATTATTCGTATTCAAAGAGAACTATAACTGTTTGTAGATAGATTTAGATAAATTTATTTTTAAAAACAACTACAAATATCTTACAACAAATAGCCATGTGCTTTCTTTTATTTTACAATATAATAGAATTTTATCGATCATTTTGTTAATTGCGAATGAATTTTAAGAGCGGCCAAACCAAAACAATTATCATTGTTATTTATAATAACATATAAAATAACAGAAAATCATTTGATTGATGAATCCAAACAACTTGCCGAAATCTTGAATTATTATCAAAGAGTATCGATTAACAAAAGAAAGAAAAAAAGCATCTAGAATATATTATAAATTCCACGAGACTTGATTTATGTGACTTTTTACCTTAAAATTTTTAATGAAATATTATTAGTCTTGCGTGTTATTAATCTGAAAAGAAAACGTAACGAAATATTAAAATTACTTTTGCTTGAAGATAATAGCGTATTAACGTGGATAAAATGCAGAAATTAACATTCATTACGAACGCTGACGTGTGCACAATAATTTACTTCAGACTGAGAAATTAGAATGATTTACGACTGGCGCAATGCTAAATTACATTTTCGTATGTATCCTTTACAGAGCAATCGAAAGTATTTGGTAGAGGCACTATTCTGTCGCGAAAGTGGAGCGTCTCGCTAATCCTGTAAAAAAAAAAAAAAAACTATATATATTAATAATAACAATAAAAGGCGCATCGCCAGGTAGCAAAATATAAATAAATTCATGGAGGAGAAATTAATCGATGGCGGGCTGAAAAGCTAATGCAAAGTTGTAGATCTTCTGGTCGGACGGACGGCTCTGATTAACGAGCGACGCATTAAGGAAGTAACAACATGTGTTCTCAGATTGGGGGGGGGGTGGTGTGCAATAAGAAATACGCATCAGACGGTACGCGCCGTCCTTAAGCCCGCGAATCCACAATAACAATCTGAAAATACACGTCAGATTAATTTCGCATAATCGCTATCTGAAATCCCGTTAAGTCTCGCCGCGAAGATAAATTGCCGCTCGAAAGTAGCCGCGTGCGCGTTTGAAAATGCCGCTAACGCCAGCGTCTCACGCACTCCCACTCTCGAATCTCTACATTCGGCAAAATGTGTCGTGGCTCTTCTACGGCTTTCCTGACCGCATGAACCTTTGTGACGCGGAGCGACTCGTCCGTGATAACGCGAGATCACCCCTTGGACAAACAATATTTCTTTTTACACTGAAAATTTTCACTTTTGCCGGAAGCGATCTACGAGCTTACATCATAGCGATTTATCAACGATTTTCGGCATTCGATCTGCCCGAATAAACATTGAAAAATCCAAATATTACCGACACCTAGGATTTAATAAATATCGGCATATTTTAAACGAACGAAATACAAATACTTTGTACAATAGCAACGTCAATGAGAATAATAATAATAAGAATAAAATAAATGATCGTAATAAGTTGATTCATTTCATTAATTTGCCCTTATTCCAGCCATAATGGCCGGTTTAAGAATCGGGAGGATACGTTTTGGCGGTTCGCGCTATACAGAATCCTCGCCGACATGAACGATCCAAGCTACTGGACAAATAATGACTGACGGGTGTGAGAAATTATAAGCCTTTATAAGGATGCTTGGAGCGAGGGAGAAACAATTGTCCCGTAATATAAAGCGAGTCACTCGACTCGCTCTGGAACATCGAAATGATATTAAGTGCGCGCGATAAGTCGAAGGAGTCTCGCTGTAATCGTCGCCCGGTTAACTTCCCGTACGATTTACCGATAATCGTAGCATCATTTTTCTTCTCACGAATGTTTAATTCGACGACAACTCCTCGTCGCGTCATCATCATACATCGGCATTAATTCCTCGGCGATGTGAGATTTGGCAATACCCTCTTGCCATCCGTCAATATTGAAAAAGTCAAGTTTGTAAATATGGTGAAAAATCCTGTCGAAACGTCGCTGCCGTCGACAGCGAATTATCGCTACTGTCGGGAAGGTTCGCTCATTCATTGCTTTTCCTTCTAATTACGGAGAACCCAAAGTGACTCTCCTGGATTCTCCTTCCGGGACGAATAATGCCTACGTTAAATTACACCTTCGTTACCACTAACATTATTTATGGCCAATAATTATGCCGAATAATTTGTAATGAAGGAAATATCGTCGACAAGGCTAGAAGATGCGCGTTCGACATTAAAATCAACGTCGCTTTAATAGGAAGAAACACTATCATTAGGATTTTCCACTGATCTACGATCACTTTGTTAAAAAGCATCTATCTCCCGATTACCGTTTACGCGAGCTTTGCCAATTACAGACACTCTCACCAAGTGTTTTAATAAATGAGGATCTCGTGTATTAGCAGCAGCAACGAAAACAAAATCAAAGTGTTTTAACAAAATAATCAAAGTGGGTGCAATCGAGAGAGAAGTAGCGGACCGTGGATTGAAGGAGGAGGAGGTGGAGGAGGAGTTGGAGGTGGGGATCGTGGAGGAGGAGGTGGTGGGGGAGGAGGAGGAAGGGGGCCCAGTTCTTTTGAATCTGCGGAGAGGTGAAAGACCGCTTAATCCGCGGACTATCCGGTATTGATAAAACAACGAAAAACATCCGAGGAGCGTTCGGTCTGAGTGCGATTATACCCGGATGCGCTTAGTGCTAAGCCTTGTACATTACGCGCGAGTCCCCAGTACATTTCATACGTCGTAGTTATGTGCGACCACGTGTAACTAAGCGTCGCCCCCCTCCTCCCATACCCATTTGCAAATGATATTGTATATGTATTCGAGTTGCCGCAACGAGCAAAAAATTATCCGAAAGTCATAACGTATAATCAGTCTTTTGTACTTTGCTTCATAATGCAATGCAATGTAATGCAATGCAATGTAATGCAATGCAACCGCATTATTTGGCAAACACTGTTAACCTTACTTTTCTACCGCTCGTCTCGCTCACTACAGCATTAAGAATTGCATATTATATATTATATATATTGTGTATGTATGGATACATATACATACGCGCGCGCGCGGGCGCGCGCACGCACGCACGCACGCACACACACACACACACACACACATATATATATATATATATATATATATGTATTATGTACTCAAACGGATATATTATTTTCTTCGTTTTTCTCTTCAACTCAATTCGATGAGCATTCGATTGGCATAACGAAGTCATTGAATCTAATGCATTTGTGCGCAATGAAAATTTGCCCATAATATTAATTGGGAGCTATAATAATGATCAAATAGCATTACTTTTCTTAAAATGATGAAATCGGGTCAACTATCTTTCGTAGCTAAAATAAACGTTATTTATTCGTTGGTCCATTTTATAATCATAATGGGTCGAGCAAACGATTGTCAATTGTACTTTCGACATTCGCAATGTAATCTTAGATGCCGCGAAAAATTAGCGAGGGACTGTCGAAAAATGAAATCGCTGAACGAATATCAATGTCCGGTATTCACGGCACACGCTAAGAGAGACGAAACTTGGATCGATGATAGATCGGCTCGATACGACGATCTCAACAGGCATTGGCGCTACGCTTTCATTAGTATTCCGGGGAAACAAAGTCCAATAATACGCACATTTATGAACGGCGGAGCGAGCAATCGCATCGCTGCCAACATTGTTTTATCCGTCTCGCAAGGGCATCATGGTAAGGTGGAGCAAAGATCGCGTAACCGAAGCTCGCCCTCCCCCTTCCCTCGATGTCAACGTAACGCTAAGTTTAAAACTAACACGGTGATGTCCATTTGGCTGTTTCAGGTCCGATGAGGACGACCCGAGCTCGGGCAAGTACAGGAGAATGGACGACGACAACATGCAGGACAAGGAGCGCTTCGCCAGGTAGGCCGACCGGGGAAATCGGCCTCGGCCGAAGGACTCTGGGTCGTTGACGCTGTCCGCCATGTGCGCCACCGCCGCCCCACTCCCACAGACGCTCTCCTCTACCTGCCTTGTGTTCGCGCGCACCCACACCGACACCCACCCACGCAACACATACGTACATACACAAACGCGCGCGCGCGCATCCACACACACCTGCGGTGTGTCCGAGCGCTGGATTTTCAGCCGCGGCTCCTCTCAGCGTGGGAACGGCCTACCGAGACGAGACGCCGCGGGAGAGAGAGAGAGAGAGAGAGAGAGAGAGAGAGAGAGAGAGAGAGAGAGAGTGAGACTGGGCGGGATCAGTTATGGGGTTGTGGGGGAGAGTGCGGGAGGGAAGAGGATCGGAGGGAAAAAGGGACGCCGCGTACCTCCGGGCTAATTGAGCTTTCCCGTACTTTTTACCCTCGTTTCCGGCTGAAGGTCCAATCGATGGAGAGGGACATTTCGCGGAGGCAAACAAGCAATGGGACGTTACCCACCGGGACGTCGGGGCCATGAGAGGAACAGGATTCTATGCGCTCGTGACCGCGGGATCCCGATGAATTCGGCCGGCCGTGAACAAAGCCCTCCACAACCTCTGACCCCTCGCGGGTCAACAAACAAACGGACGCGCGCGCACTCGAGTACATACACGTCACGACCACCATCATCACATTACATCATAGCACATATATCGCATAGAGAGAGAGAGAGAGAGAGAGAGAGAGGGGGGGGAGGGAGAGAGAGAGAGGGAGAAGGAGAGAATTAACAAGAAGTTGAGGGACCGCTTTATACTTTCTGTTCTCGGGGGTTGGCAAATGCAGTCGGGAGAATCATTGCGAGATCGAGCGACGACGGAGGAACAAGATGACGGCCTACATCACGGAACTTTCAGACATGGTGCCGACGTGTTCGGCCCTTGCCCGCAAACCTGACAAACTCACCATCTTGCGCATGGCTGTCGCTCATATGAAGGCCCTCAGAGGTGAATCTCAGCTCCGGTTTAATTGATAATCCAATGGTGTGCTGCTGGTGCTGACTGGATTGAGTGACAGAGCGAGAGAGAGAGAGAGAGAGAGCGAGAGAGAAAGAGAGAGAGAGAGAGAGTGCGAGAGAGTCTCTATCTATCTGGCTGTATGTCTGTCTGTCTGTCTGTCTGTCTGTCTGTTTTGTGTGAGCGCGCGTGTGTGTGTGAAAGAGAGACTCGGAGAGTTCGGAAATGGATGACAAGAGCGGAATACAAAACGACACGCGCGCTTCCGGCGAAGGGCGCGGAGAAAGGAGGAGAGCTTGGAGATTGTTTATAGCCACTTGTTCTTGCCTTCTGACAAGAGCCCGTCCTCTGAATACGAATCGCCCCATAAACGACTTTTCTTTTTAATTCTTCTGTATACCTGCAGTCGACAACGGGCCCACGAGAGACACTCGGCAGCAGTGATTTTACGAGTCAATCTCATCCGCCCTGGGCCGCTCTTCTCCTTTCTCTCGAGCTTCCCCCGTCTTCCCGTGGGCTTTCGTCGTACGATGAAAATACGAGATTGTCGGTGGCGAGCAGCAGCAGCGAGCCTTCCTGGAATTTCTTGCATATCGGACCGACGAGATAATATCTACTCCCACTCGCTCGCCGGCAATCCTCGGGTTACTTGGTGATTCCGATCTTGTAGGCCGATATATGCGTTCGAGTCACAGCCTGTACACCCCTACTACTCCCTCCTCCCTCTCCCCCTCCCCCGCCTTTTTTCCCTTTCTCCTTTTTCCGTCCGCGCTCCTCATTTTCATTTCCACTGCCGCCGATCTTCGTGCACACACGGCGACGCGTAAGCACACAAAGCTCTCTTCGCTTCTCCGCTCGCCTCTGTCGTGCATTTATGCTTACGATTGTCGCGTCTGCCCGAGCTTTTCGAGTTCGTATTCATGCCAAAAATTACTCGATTTTTATATTTCTTTTTAACATTTTCTACGACCGCTTATACGTGCACGAGCGAAAGACAGTCTCGTCCGATAATTCATTTTAACGATTGTTTGCGCTCGTTGGTGCACCTTACAGTAGTGTACATGATTTTATCCCTATCGCTTCGGTGTTTACGACCTTAAAAAGTTAATAAATAATTTATATCAAAGAAACGACACGATTGAGAAGAAAGTCCAACCTATTGAATTCGATCGACCGACAGCATATTCGATTTTATTGCATTATATATTGAAAAGTAAATAGTTTACATTATTATAATTAGTCTCGAATTTGAGTGTGCTAAATAAAAATTGTCTGCATTTTCTTAAATTGTCCACCGATGGCAATTAGATAAAATTTCTAAGCGTTATCGTGCCGTTGTGGCTACGGGCGGGGGCGGAGGGGTGGGGAGGGGA